CTTGCCTACCTCAGGGCTACATTAACTCTCCAGCCTTATGTCATAATTTAGTCCACAGGGACCTTGATCGCCTTTCCCTTCCACAGGACATCACACTGGTCCATTACATTGATGACATTACACTGATTGGCCCTAGTGTCAATGACTCTGGACTTATTGGTAAAACATTTGCGTGCTAGAGGGTAGGAGATTAATCCCACAAAAATTCAGCACCTTCCACTTCAGAGAAATTTCGAGGGGTCCAGTGGTGTGGGGCATGTCAAGACATTCCTTCTAAAGTGAAGGATAAGTTATTGCATCTTGCTCCTCCCACAACTAAAAAGGTGGCACAATGCTTAGTGGGCCTCTTTGGATTTTGGAGGCAACATATCCCTCATTTGGGTGTGCTACTCCGGCCCATTTATCAAGTGACTTGAAAAGCTGCTACTTTTGAGTGGGGACCAGACCAAGAGAAGGCTCTTGATGTTTTAAATCCTGTTTCTCAATTTATTTTCTCTTCTTTATTTCCTCAATTGCTCAGGTTCTGAAATAGGAGAAATGTGTGAAATTTCTTAAACCCTCATTCTTTTTTCCAACCCAAATGACTTGGGTTGAACGTGACGGAGCTTTAGATGAAAGGTGCAAATTCAGTTTTTGAAAATGACTCTTCATAATGACTGTATACAATATTGTACTCACTAAGCCATTTAAAAGGAGCCGTGGTGGTGCAATGGTTAAGTGCCTGGCTGCTAACCGAAAAGTCGGTGGTTGGAACCCACCGGCCGCTCTGTGGGAGAACAATGTGGCAGTCTGCTTCCGCAAAGATTACAGCCTTGGAAACCCTATGGGGCAGTTCTACTCTGTCATATAGGGTTGCTAGGAGTCAGAATCAACTTGACAGCACAGAACAATAACAGAGTTCCTCTGCTAGACTCACCTCTGGCTCAAAGCCTGTACTTGGTCTCAGGCATCACAGGCTTGAGGATTACCCCAGTGTAAGGGGCACTGGGCATAAGGATGCTCGACAGACTTTTTGTCTGCTGTATCTCCAAAAGAAAAAATGCGTCAGGCTGTAAAACACATCCCTAAGTGGTAAGGCCACTTGGGAACGGGTCACAATGCTAGGCAACTAGAAAGGGTGCTTCCTTCAAACAATTTACAAGACATTAATATTCAACCGGCTGCAAAGGCTAATGGTCAAGTTCTGCCTTCAGGCACTGAGACTTCAGTGAGACATGAATAAGCATTTCCCATGAGCTTCTGAATAGAGAATCTGGGCCTGTTTATTACATAAGGTCTGGCCTTAAAAAAGGTCAAGAATTTATATGATTAAGGGAAAAAAAGTTCAGCTGGTACCCTTTCCTTTAAGATTCACGTTATGGGGCAAGGAGAGAGAAGCTAAATACTGTCCATTAAGCACATTTCGGAGATTCTGCCTGGTTTTTCTGCATTGATTCAGATTTCTTCCTTTAGTAGGTCAAGGCAGACCTTCCATGCTAATGTAAGAAATGCATTCTCTTCTTAGTTTTAGGTTTATCAGAATCTAAAAAGCCATAGTGAAGGCCTATTTTTCAGAGTCTATCATTTTCAAGTAAATATACTGCTAAGATGTTTTGAAAGCAGAAAAGACAGGTAAATCAATTACAAAATCAAGAAAAAAATAATGTTTTCTATCTTAAGTGTTTGCTGATTTAAAAAAGTCATTTTGGACAGTGGTTTAGGAAATCTAAAGTATAATAAAATGCCATATAAGAAAATTTTCAACTTCCTTAAGGACACCACCACTAGAAGAAAAAAACAATTATTAGTAGAAATGAGCTTAAATATAAACATGAAAAACAGAAGCTCCAAATAAGCCCAAATGTAATTGCAAGCACCACAAATTATAATAATGTACATAAGCTTAAAATAGCAACTGTTTTGAGGGGGTTAACAGCAAAATTTCATAACTTACAGGACAGCATTCAACCACATGTGGTAAAATACAATAAAAATAATCAAAAATGTACTTTAAAAATGGTGGTGTAGTGGTTAAGAGCTTGGCTGCTAACAGAAAGGTCGGCAGTTGGAATCCACCAGTCGCTCCTTGGCAACCCTATGGGGGCAGTTCTACTCAATGGCACCTAACAACTACAACAACATGTAGCTTCTAGTCCTCTGGAACAGGCAGTCAATAAGACCACCTTACTCTCAGATATTTTACAAAGGGAAAACTCAAGGTCCATTTACCCAACAACAAAACAAACAAACAAACATCTGAGGAAAAAACATTTTTGAACATCATTGCAGTTGGAGGGAGCAATAAGTGGTTATTTCTGTTTCTGGAGGGATGAAAGTCATGTTGCAAGTTCAGCTTCCTACTTGGTCAAGGAGAATGCAGTCACAGAGATGGCGGCGGGGAGCAGGTCAATGAATCAGAAGCTCAATATGGGAGCCACTGAGCAATGGAAACCAACTTCATGGGCTTCAGATAAGCCTTCAAGCTCAGAAAACTCTAAATGTGGAGGTACTTTCATCCTTTTCAGACAGGGGCGAGTAGTTAAGGAAAATACTAAAATTTACCTGAATTAATTCCTTCATTCATTTACCCACAAGTGGTAAAATGCAATAAAAATAATCAAACATGTATTTTAAAATGTCATTGTAGCTTCTAGCCCTTGGGAATAGGAGGTCAATAAGACCACTTTACTCTCAGATGTTTTAGAAAGGGAAAACCTTACCCTCCCATTGAAACCCCTGCTGCCAGAAAAGGAGCAGAAGGGTACAGGCTGTGTATGTGGTGAATAACTGTTTCCAAATCTTCAGTGTTAGCACAACAGTAAGTCCTTGGCGTCTGTAAGCAATGACAAGTAAAGTAAAAAAATTAAAATAGGAGGTCAATGATTTGTATAATGCAGAAATATAAAAAAGAGCATAAGTCGTAAGTATGACCAAGTATGACCAAGTAACATTTGTTTACACATACTATCAGTAATGGAGCCCTAGTGGCGCAGTGGTTAAGCTCTTGGCTGCTAACCAAAAAGTCAGCAATTTGAATCCACCAGCCACTCCTTGGAAACTCTATGGGGCAGCTCTACTCGACTCAATGGCAACAGGAAAATCAGTAATAATAATTTATCATTTTCATATCTTGCATAATACATAAATGCCACTTAAAATCGACACTATTTGAGTTGGCATTAACAAAAAGACTCTGAACATGCAAGGAAGGCTTGACAGAAATGGGGCAAAACCTACAGAAATACCTTAACTTAAATGGATACAAAGTAC